TCATTACCCTTTCGGGCAGCACAAGCACATGACCAAATAGCATCTCGCTGTGTTGGCTCAAACTATTGCTGAATGGTGATAACAGAATCATTGGCAGGAGCTTCTGTAATCCATAAATTGGAACTGGTGGTTATACATGAGGTGAAATATTTGAATGTTCTAGAGTCCAGAAAGCTAGAAGGTGCTTAGCTGAAAGATTAAATGTTATTTCTCAAGTTTCCCTTGTGTTTGAACAGTAAATGCAGATGACCAAGTTCAGAAAGCTTGGAGGGTGGGGTTGAGAATTAAAATGACCGCCAATTGGAAAGATTGTTCTACATGCAGACTGAATGGAGGTGTGGGAATATTATGGACATGTTCAACTTTGGCAATCACAGTGAAGGGAATATATTTATAGGACAGCAACTGAAGAGAGGGGCTATGCTGAAAGAAATCAACAGAGGACGGGAGGTCACTCAAAAGGAGCAGGAAGCTAGGATGATGGTCTGTCTGGCCTGCGTATTTTGTTTAATTCTTTAAAAGTGCATAAACAAAAGGAACACAAGTTTAATGTTGATAAAAATTGTAGTACTAAGTTGAGTGAAGGCTCAGGTGGAACATAAAACATCTGTATAGTTCTGCTGGAGTGAATGCCTTGTTTATGTGCTACAATGTATTTTTCGAGGAAGATTTCATATTACAGTTGTGCATCACTTCCCCTTATAACTTCTAACGCTGAACTTCTCCAAATTTTTTGGAGTGCCCATTGCTCCAAAACAGTAGTGATTTATAAACCCAAAGTCTCAAATAGTTCAATAAAAATGATGGAAGGGGTGGATGGCCTATTGTTAATGTAAACAAAAATCTAACAGGTGTGAATTATTAGCAATTCTCAAGCTTCCAATTGAAAAAAAATCAGAAATTGTCATAAATAGTTTAAATTAGAAGGGTATTACAAATTCTCCTCTTCCTCAATCATATGGTGGAAGACTGGTTCATGGTAGCAATCAATTTAACATCCTCAATTTCAAATCTGTCCATTGTAATCATCAAACTTTTTGAGAATTTCTCCAGTTGTCTGCTCCAACACGTACACTGTTCTTGACTTCTTTGTTTTCTCTAGCTCACCGTGGCTAACTTATTTATGTGCAGCAAAATTTTCCTTCCACAACTAGTTATCTCTGGAATATCCTCAAAAAACATGCTAAAATCCTTCTGTTCAACTGTTGCATTTTTTGTTGTCTGCAAATGATCTTTTTTGCCCTCCTCAACATTCATATATTTGTCAGGAAACAAATGAGTATGACTTCTCTGATGGCTTAGCAAGGTTTTACAGTGAGTAACCGAATTCAATAAACCAAGAATGACTTGTATTTGATAGTCACTCTTTGTCTTTTTTAAACCACAATTGCTTCATTAAAAAGCAGTAACTGATGTAATTATTAAGATGCCATTATATACAAAAGAACCTTGAAGGGCAATCGATCATTTTTTAATATTGAATTACATACTGCAGAATAATTCCCAGTTAGGCAGTGGATGTGTACCTATGCAAGTGCTGAAGAATTTGGATTCAGGGTTTTGAAATTCACAAACAACAGTGAGGTAACAAGTCATTATGAATATTTTTAACTTGGCAAGCATAAAACAAGTGATGTCAGATTCTCATATAAAAGCAAAATACTGTGGTCCTGGAGATCTGAAATAAAAACAGAAGCCAGTGGTCAAACTCAGCAGGCCTGGCAGCACCTATGGAGAGAGAAGCACAGTTAACACTTCAAGTTCAATATGACTTTTCTTTGGAAGCTGCCTGCCAGTGATACACATCTAATATTTTCCTTTCTCCTGACTTTGAAACAAAAGCTCTAAAACTGTCCGACCAAAACAGGTTCAAAATATAACCTTTATGATATAAAAATGAATAGTTAGACAAAAAGTGCTGCAGCTCATGGGAATATCCTAACAAACTTTATATATAAGCACAATATTCCATTACTTTAATTACTCTAACAATAATTTTAAATTGATTGAATGAAGATGCGTATGGAAGGCAAGTGGTTATAACGTTGTATAACATAAATGATTATGTATATAACACCTGCAGTGTAGCTAAACAAACCATTTCACAAGAACATTGTAAAATTAATTTTAGTCATGTAAGGAGTTATTAGTGTGCACAATTAATAGCTTAGTTCAAAGATGACTTCAAAGAACATTTTAAAAGAGGATATGTAGGATGTTGAGGTTTATGAAGGAATTCCAAAGATCAAAGCCTCTGCAGCTGAAAGCACTAATGGAGGTGCAACTAAACTTGGGGATGTGCATTGAGGTCAGTAATTGAGTGAAGAGATTTCAAAGGCTTGTAGTGCTGGAGGAGGATAGATATATGGTGCGGCAAGGCTCGGAGGCATTTGATTATAATTTGTTATTGTTATGTTTGCCCTACAAAAACTGGAAATACGACATCTTAAAAGTGCAGAGATAGTAGGAACTGCAGATGCTGGAGAATCCGAGACAACAAGGTGCAGGGCTGGATGAACACAGCAGGCCAAGCAGCATCATAGGAGCAGAGAGGCTGACGTTTCGGGCCTCGACCCTTCATCAGAAAAGGGGGAGGGGAAGGGGGTTTTGAAATAAATAGGGAGAGAGTGGGAGGCGGATAGAAGAGGGATAGAGGAGAGGATAGGTGGAGAGGAAACAAACAGGTCGAAGAGGCGGGGATGGGGCCAGGAAAGGTGAGTGTAGGTAGGGAGTTAGGAAGGGGATAGGGTCAGTCCAGGGAGGACGGACAGGTCAAGGGGGCGGGATGAGGTTGGTCGGTAGGAGATGGAGGTGCGGCTTGAGGTGGGAGGAGGGGATAGGTGGGAGGAAGAACAGGTTAGGGAGGCAGGGACGAGCTGGACTGGTTTTGGGATGCGGTAGGGGGAGGGGAGATTTTGAAACTTGTGAAATCCACATTGATACCATTGGGCTGCAGGGTTCCCAAGCGGAATATGAGTTGCTGTTCCTGCAACCTTCGGGTGGCATCGTTGTGGCACTGCAGGAGGCCCAGGATGGACATGTCGTCTGAGGAATGGGAGGGGGAGTTGAAATGGTTCGCGACTGGGAGGTGCAGTTGTTTGTTGCGAACCGAGCGTAAGTGTTCTGCAAAGCGGTCCCCGAGTCTCCGCTTGGTTTCCCCGATGTAGAGGAAGCCACACCGGGTACAGCGGATGCAGTATACCACATTGGCAGATGTGCAGGTGAACATCTGCTTGATGTGGAAAGTCTTCTTGGGGCCTGGGATGGGGGTGAGGGAGGAGGTATGGGGGCAGGTGTAGCACTTCCTGCGGTTGCAGGGAAAAGTGCCGGGTGTGGTGGAGCTGGAGGGGAGTGTGGAGCGGACAAGGGAGTCACGGAGAGAGTTGTCCCTCCGGAAAGCAGATAAAGGTGGGGAGGGAAAGATGTCTTTGGTGGTGGGGTCGGATTGCAGATGGCGGAAGTGTCGGAGGATGATGCGTTGGATCCGGAGGTTGGTGGGGTGGTACGTGAGGACGAGGGGGATTCTTTTTTGGTTTTTATTGCGTGGACGGGGTGTGAGGGATGAGGTGCGGGAGATGTGGGAGACACGGTTGAGGGCGTTCTCGACCACCGAGGAGGGGAAGTTACGGTCCTTGAAAAACGAGGACAACTGAGATGTACGGGAGTGGAATGCCTCATCCTGGGAGCAGATGCGGCGGAGGCGAAGGAATTGGGAAAAGGGGATAGCATTTTTGCAGGAAGGTGGGTGGGAGGAGGAGTATTCTAGGTAGCTGTGGGAGTCGGTGGGCTTGAAATGAATATCGGTTTCGAGGTGGTTGCCCGATATGGAGACAGAGAGGTCCAGGAAGGGGAGAGAGGTGTTAGAGATGGTCCAGTTAAAAGTGCAGTTCACTTGCAGTTTGGATCCAATGTAATACTCCGAACTACTTTCTTTGACACATTAAATCATAAACATATACGAATACCAAAGTGTAACAGAAACAAAATTAATCAATTTGAAAAAGGGCCATTTGAAGTGACGGATCATATTAAAATTGATTTTTGAAAACTCTACTTCTGTTCTGAAACAGAAAACCCACAAACCAAAAATCAATTTTGTTTTGAACTATGGACTCCAGCCCGAGGAATTATTAAGCAATGGCCACAAGTTTTGATGGCCTAAATTCAGTAACTGAAAGTTCATCTTATTTTGCTGTAGGACTTTAAACTTGATAGCATGATAGTTCAATTTCAGAAGAAGTCAACTGAAATCAGTAGCTTTAATTTCGGTTTAACTATACTCAACATTGTGATTGTTCACTGTATCGTTTCAAAAGCCGCCATATTTCAATTAAATTTTCATTAAAGTATAATCAACTATAACAAGACATGGCTGCATCCACCAACATATTTTAAGCCATTATACATAAAAAAATTGTTTCTGATACACTTCAAAATGTTTGAGAAAATAAACATGCTACCTAAATGCAAATTTTTTCAAACACCTTAAATGCTAAGTTAATGCAGATGCTGCATATTTTGTCTATCAATTCTGTTATTTTAAATCATATAGATTTACATGATATACAATTAATACGAACAAACAGCAGGTAGTTATGTTGTAAAATAAGTGACAGCAAACATTTCCAAGGTATAGGAAATTTTGTGGTATCCAATATACACCGGAATCAGGAGGTGCCAGTAAATCTAAAATGCTGGTTAATCCATTGCAGTTCACTGTAACAGTAAGAATCGAACAAAAGAAATGCCATTACATATATTGTAACGTGTAGAGGCTGACAGCCTATGAGCCTATCCTTCACTCTTTACTGGAAACATTTAAGGAAACACCTGTTAACCTTTAGCTGGTTCTTTTTACAATCACTTTAGACTAACAACATTGGCATCATTTATGTGTGCCTGAGAAGATTATGAAGGTTTCAGTTGGTGGGCTTGGATGATGTGAATTTGACAATATGCATTTAAGAATGATGGATGCTTCAATGAACGTGATGACAATATTTTATTTCCTGCTCAGGTTTATTGCAGAAAACATAACTGATATTACAAAACATGTACGAGATAGGACCATAAGGGAAGCCAGCAATCTCTTGAGATGTACCCAATTACTTGAAAAAAATCAGAATTGGCCTCACATGGACCATACATCAGTGCACTTTAAAAAAAAACAAAAATATCTTCACCACTTCAAGAAGGAATTTACAATCAGGTTTCAAAATCTGGTGGCACATCTTCAAGCTTCAGGAATCTTTTTCAGCTTCAGAGATTTCCTCTTCATGAACTTCTATCAATTCCCTGATCTAAAATGAGAATACCAGATCAATTTAGAAAGAAAACTCCATAGGATGTAATGAATACAATACAACTGCATAATGTGAATAGCTACCATCTTAAAATCAGTTATCAGTGACAGACCATCTCTCAAAACAAAAATGCAACTAATTCCGCCTAAAGCAAAACTAATCAATAAATCACTTATTTGAGTTTCAGTAAAGTCAATTCTTGAACTACATTCCACAGATATGGTCTATTTCATTTGTGACACTTCCTGTCATACTTAACCAATACATGACACCTATCTCACTCACATTTCATAATTATTTTTCTTTGAACAGTTTAACTTTACAATTAAAACATATCTGACGGAGAAAATTTATACAAATTTAGGAATTAGGCATGACAAAGACAGGCTTTTTTAAAAATGAAGATTAAACAGCAATTTTTCATGAAATGATTGAAGTAAAGGTAGACAATCATATCAGAAAGCATGCTATTCTGGGCTACTGTTGAGGTCACTTTCAAGGAGCAAATGTGAAACAGCAACAAGGTAAAAATATGGCTTCCCACCATTCAGATTAGCTTAAAATATTCTACTCACCTTTTGTTCAACGCAAGTTTCAACTAACATTATTGAGATGCAAACATTTAAATCTGACATTTCCCTGTCAGATACGCAAAATGATAATAAGTAATTCAGTTAAATTCATGGGGTGAATTGAACATTTGAGAAGAGAAAAATTGAAGAACAGTACATCCATTATAACACTAGTTCAGAAAATAGACTCATTAAAAGTTCATTTATATAAAGGCAACTTGTTTTCATTTTTTTTAAATTTATTCCATCATGGACTGTGCACATGCTGACTAGGCCAGTAGTTATTGCCCATTCCCAGTTGCCCGTGAGAGTAATAGTGAGTGCACCTATACCAAAGTCCATCTGATATAAGTACACGCACAGTCGCATCAAAAAGAAAAGTTCCAGGATTTTGACCCAGCAACAAAGAAATGATGATATAGTTTCAAATCGGAATAGTTTGTGGTTTGGAGGTGAAATTGCAGGCATGGTTGTCACTTTTATAAATGTTATAAGTAGAATATATATCCGGAAAAAAACCTTGCTGTGGGTAGTGGGTGGTTGTGTTCCCGATCATTTGCTGGCCTTGTTAACCTATGTGGTCCAGGTTGCAGAATTGAAAAGTGCTGTCAGAAAAGGCTTGACAAATTGTTGCATTGCATTATGCAGACGGCATGCATTGCTGATAGTGGCTGTTGACGGTGGAGTGAACGAATTTGAGTTGGTGAATGAAGTATCAATCAAGTGGGCTGCTCTGTCAAGATGTTAGAGCTCCTGACTTTTATTTTGTAGATGGGGAATTAGGAGGCGAGTTACACATGTCAGAATTCCCAGCCTGTGGCCTGCCATTTCTATGACAGATTTAGTTAAGTTTCTGGTCAATGGTAACCTCCAGGATGTTGATAGTGGGGGATTCAGCAATATAGAGTCATTAAATTCAAGGGAAGATGGTCATTGCCTGGTTTGAAAAAAAATCCTAAAGATTTAATGCAGTAAAGTAGAATCAATGTATTTTAATTCTCACATACAGTTTGCGCAAATTGAGAAACATAGCACATCTTTTTGAATGTACATAGTTGGGTTTCGTTGCGTTCAATATAAACTCTTAGAAAGACATTTAGGGAATGGTATGAAAGTAAAAAACAAGTTTGTATTACATAAAATGATTAAGGAGAAACAGATCAAGATATTCTGAAATGCTAAGACCAGAGTACCCAAGTCAGTCCCTGCAATAACATTTTTTGAAGGAAAATAATGAGAAGTAATAAACGTGTGTGTCTGTGTTCTTGTGCGCGTGCGTGTATCACACGTGCACGTGGGGGTACAATGATTAACTTGTCACTACATCTGCAGCCAGGACTTTTTTTTTTAGAAAGCTAGTTTGAGGGAATTCCTGGAGTGATAATAGGAATTTGTTTGCATTGCGAAAGCTTTCCAATTGGACATAGTAAACATTGCACCTCCCAGTCGCGAACCATTTCAACTCCCACTCCCATTCCTCAGACGACATGTCCATCCTGGGCCTCTTCCAGTGCCACAACGATGTCACCCGAAGGTTGCAGGAACAGCAACTCATATTCCGCTTGGGAACCCTGCAGCCCAATGGTAACAATGTGGATTTCACAAGCTTCAAAATCTCCCCCCCCCCCCCCCCATCCCCAAACCAGCCCAGCTCCTCCCCGCCTCCCTAACCTTTTCTTCCTCCCACCTATCCCCTCCTCCCACCTCAAGCCGCACCCCCATCTCCTACCTACTAACCTCATCCCACCCCCCTTGACCTGTCCGTCCTCCCTGGACTGAACTATCCCCTCCCTAACTCCCCACCTACACTCACCTTTACTGGCTCCATCCCCGCCTCGTCGACCTGTTTGTTTCCTCTCCACCTATCCTCTCCTCTATCCATCTTCTTTCCGCCTCCCACTCTCTCGCTGTTTATTTCAGAATCCCCTTCCCCTCCCCCTTTTCTGATGAAGGGTCTAGGCCCGAAACGTCAGCCTTTCTGCTCCTATGCTGCTGCTTGGCCTGCTGTGTTCATCCAGCTCTGCACCTTGTTGTCTCGGATTCTCCAGCATCTGCAGTTCCTACTATCTCTGATTGAAAAACATTAGCTTGCTTTAGTATTAGATGAATGAAGAATTGATTTTTTTTTGCTTTGAGGGGAAGTTATTTGGCATAATCAACTTCCGTTTTATTGTTAAAACCAAATATGCACTATTTTGTGCTTGTGTTTCAGTGAAAGATCACTTTTAAAAATAAACAAAACATAATCTAATTAGCCGAATTTCAGTCTGGGATCTGACTTGCGCAGTAATAACATCATTTAGGATCATAAGTTAAAATGCAACTTAAAGTGACGCTATCCAAGCAAAAATTCAAATAAAAACACAAATTATTGAGTCATCTCAGCTTACAAATGCAATCTTTGTGATATTGCAAGTTTCCATTTAAGGCAGTCATTGTATTTCAAGCAATATTCCACAGGAAATGGGATATAATTCTGTTTTTCCAGGAAAGATAACTTATCAGAACTAGCAATTAATAATTCAAAACAATTCAATTGTATTTGTACTGATGCTAGAAAAGTTAAATCATTTTTCCGGAATAATTGTGCCCTATTAGCAATTCGAAGAACACACAAATGAAAAGTGACATTTAAACATGATAACATAGCATGCAAGACAACATGCAACTGATTACAATCAACACTGGTGAAACATGTCCCATTCAACAGAATCAGAATTAAAGACTAGTACAATTCATTAAGTTGGTGTGATGAAATGTCAAAAGTTCATTATCTTCTATGCTCAAATGTTGTATATCCATGGTTCCATCAAGGCTCAAGTTATATATGACTATAAGTTCTCATATCTCTACTATGAAATTCTTACCTTATTTCTTATTCTTTATTTAGTTAGTACAAATAAATAACGTGTGTTTTCAGGATTATCTCGCAACATCACAAGTCACTACATATTTCATTCCTTTTCAGGTTTACTCCCTGTCCCCTATCCAATTCTTTAAAGTACATATTATTTAGATTAGCTGACTTTAATAAAAATATTAATATAGAATGCTAAAACTGAAGGGTTGAGTACAAAGAGAAGTGGGTCTAATGGAACAAACTTTCAAAGAACTGATGAGCATGATAATGTCAATGGATTCCTTCTGTATTATGTATAAATATATCAAAATATATATAACATATGAGAAAATACATTGCCTTTTCCATTCCAAGCGAAAAAACCAAATAATGCTATGGTCAACAACAGAACATAATTTGAAATGGGAGAATATTAAGAAGGAATCATACTCTGGCTCCTGAATCCCACGGTACTGCAGCCACAGTTACTCTGATGTTTGTGGTCATGGCACCAGATTTAAAGAAATTCTGATTTGAACAAGCATTGCACTCCTAAACAAGGCCTGGCAGCAAAAGCACTTACAGTCCAAATCTAAAATTGAGGGGCTAAATGGCCTACTCCTGTTCCTATGATTTGATGGGAGGACTGAATGATCCCAACAGTGACAATTTTAATTTTAAAAACCAACATGGAAATTTCATACAGCAACTAATTTCAATAACACCTGTTACCATACAGAGTGGAATGGGAAATGTTTAATGGTTCACATGCATATCAGAGAAGCTAATTTTTTTTACATACATATATGTACACAACTGATACGCTTAAAACCCTTACTTGGGTTAGGTTGTTTAGAAACCTTTTTACCGAAGAGTCCTATATTTTGCCAATCTACTGCTTTGTTCTGCTGCAATCCTGGCAAAGGAGAGAGGAATATAGATTTAGAAAGACAAAGTTCTTAAGGACAGAGGAATATGATTCAAAGTAAAGTTCACAGAGTAAGACATTCTTCAGTGAAGTGCCACTAATGATAGCTTATTGAAGCTTACATGGAAGATTTTATCCAATCTCTGCAGGTTTGAGGAGTTTTTTTTTCTTTCCCCACCCACTTTACTGCATGTATAATTTGCTTGAACACATTTAAATAAAAATTGCTCCAGTTAGAGCTCAACTTGGGTTCAAGCCATAACAGGTATAAAAGAAAACAGTAAATTCTACTCTTAATTTCCTTATTCCCTGAATGCATAGATCCAAGCTCAGCTAACAGCACCCACCCCTCGACATTTTCATCTGTCACTCTCAGGATACTAAACAGAATGTGGTTCCAACTGACATCCCACTATCTCAGTATGTGTCACTAAAGGAGTTGTCATGCAGTTGTCACTGGTAAAATTGTGTACGGTTTGGGAGGACTCATAATAGCATAGCCCTTTTTGTCATCATGCGTATATACTTACATATACACACACACACGACAGCTGTATAGGAATTACAAAAAGAAACCTTTCCCTCTAATTTCTTTTCCCAAATTAGAGTCACTGAAGTTAATGATGTCTATTCTACTGTTGCCACATGTGAGCCTCAA